GGCGGACGGCGCAGAGGCGGCGCGCAGCCACGGGCCCCATGCCGGCAGCCAACATGATGGAGAGCCTGCAGCTGCCCGCCCTGCAGGTGCCCGAGGCGCGGGGCGCGCCTGAGGTCAGCCCGGTCTGGTCCAGCTCGTCCACCCCCACACTCCGCCGCCGGCGATTCAAGATGCGCCGGATGAAGAATGTGCAGGAGCAGAGCCTGGAGGCCGGGCTGGCCCCGGGCAAGGAGTTCCTGCAGCTGCCGTCCATCGAGATCACGCCCTCCAGCGACGAGGACACGCCGTGGTCCAACTGCTCCACACCCAGCGCTTCCCCGCGCCGAAAGCGCTTCCTCCTCCGCAAGTGGCTGCAGGTGCGGGAGCGGAAGGAGTGCAGTGAGAGCAGGTACGTTCCCCTTCCGCCCCTGCCTCTGTGCGCCTGGCCCTCCCCAGGGTCCCTGGGCATCCCGCGGGAACTTCCGGGAGGAAGGGGAGTCGCTGAGGGTATGAGCTGGTCCCGGGACTCACTGTGCTTCAGCTCCCCCGTGCCCACCTCTTCGCTCTGGTTAGTGGCCCTGCACGTGTGACACACTTACGTGGGGACCCACGCTGCTTTCTGTCCCCTCTGAGCCCTGCAGCGCGAGGAGCGATGGGTAGAACAAACTGGTACTCCCTGAGCGCTCACCGGGCCTGCGTGGAGCGCTCCCCCGTGCGTCTCCGGATGTGATTCTCTGGTTACTGCTGGGATTCCCATTCTGTAGATGGAGATGACAGAGGCCCCAGAGAGGTTAAGCTGCCCCTGCACATAGACAGCTGTTCTGCACTCCCGTTGTTTGTATTATTTTCTTATTGACCACACAGGCTGGTCTTACTGGGCCGCAGGGGTGCAGGTGGAGGGAGTCAGTCCCATTTCCTACCACATGGGAGTCTTAGTCTAGGCCCCTAGGTACCACTGTGGTGTGTATTAGCTACTTTTTGCCTAGGTCAGTGTGGCATCTGGGGAGTGGGGGGATTTGAACTTCCATCCCGGGGGGGACTGGTGTAGAAAGCCCACAGAGCAGCTCCACACAAGCCTGGTGGGAGTGGTGCTCTGGGAGTGGTGTGGCCAAGCTCAGTTCCCGGTGGACTATGGGGAGTCCTCACTGGCTCAGGACACCACCGACCCTTTACTCTTAGATTCGGGAGACCCTGTCTCAGGGTGGGAAGGCAAGTCCCTGACCACCATTCCCGGTACTTTTCCTCCCAGTGGGTTCAGCTTCATACCTTTCTGTTCAACAGTATTTACCGAATGTTCCTGTGAGCTCAGACTGGCACCAGCCAGTGGTGGTGATGACGGGAGGGCTGTGGGGAAGGCTGGGGAGGGTGTGAGGTGTGGAAATTGAGAAGGACAAAGGGAGGACATTCATACAAGAAATTTAGACATGGGGGACCACATGGCCTTGCAGCGGTGAAGCGCCATGCCGCATTGGGAGGGCTCTGTGTTGCGTCTCAGGACCTCCCTGAGAATGCCCGGCTCACGTGTGCACATTATGCAGGCCGACGGAGGCTGGGGGTGCCCTTCAGTGTCCAGGTGCTGTTGGGGTTGCTGTCTCTTCCAGTTATGGAAGAAATAAACTTTTAACAAAAGATCAGGAAGGATTTTTACGACATGGGTGTAGTTTAAGGCAGTTCTTCGTCTTTTTATTTTATTTTATTTTTTAGAGGTTTTTGTTATAGGGCGCGTGTGCTCGCCAGAAAGACAGAGAGAGAGAGACAGAAAGCGAGAAATCACCCCCCCCCGGGGGGGGGGATGGCCACACCACAATCCCTTCTTCTCCATTCTCTTGGGATCTTGGGCATGCACGCACGCGCACCCAGCGTGAGTTTAAGCCACTGGGTGCGGGACTGGAACCACAGTCGACTACATGGGAGTCCAGCAACATAGTCATTACACCAACTGCTGATCCCACAGTTCTTCGTCTTTTTTAAGGCAATTGTTTTAAATGGCGGCTGGTTGAATTAGAAGCGTATGTATAATACAGTCATTCTTCAGTATTCGAGCAGGATTAGTTCCAGGACACCAAAATGCATGGGTGCCGAAGTCCCTTCGCTCACATGGTATCGTGTTTGTGTGTACTCTGTGCACAGCCTTTCCTAGGCTGGAAGGCATCTCTGGGTTATTTATAACACCGATCCCATGTAAATGTGATGTAAATCATTGTCATACCGTATGCCTGCAGTGTAGACGTTACTACGGTAGACTTACTACGGCAGCACACGTGGCTGGTTGAGTCTGCAGATGCAAAGCCTGCAGATATAGAGCCCACTGTGTGCAGATAAAAGCAGACTCTGGGAACCAGCAGTTAGCGTAATGGCTATGTCTCTGGACTCCCACGTAGTCGACTGCCGTTCACGTCCCAGACCCGGTGGCTTAAAATTCATGCTGGGCGCGTGTGCGTGCGTGCCCAAGATCCTGAGAGGAGAATGGAGGAGAAGGGATTGTGGCGTGACCATCCCCCCGGGGGTGATTTTTCGCTTTCTGTCTCTATGTCTCTTTCTGTCTGTCTGGCGAGCATACCTGCTGTCTGTCTGCCGAGCAGACCTGCCCTATAGCCAAAACCCCTCCAAAAAAAAAAAAAAGAAAAAAAAAAGCAGACTCTGGATTCAAATCCAAAGGTGTCTGCCTCTGATCTGGCCTCGCTGTTACACCGTCTCCTGTTGGAATCTGCAATGAAGCCCTGCCGTCTTTAGGTCTCGGAGATGGAAGGTTCTTGGAAAGAAAAGCAGTCAAGTGAGTAGGTGCATTTGGTACTCCCGAGATGCCTGAGAAAGAATTGACATATTTTATGTATTGGCTTTTTAAAAAAAGACTTGTTTATTTCATTTTATTATTTAAAAAAAAATGCTTTAGGACATGTGCACTGATGAGAGAGAGAGAGAGAGAGAGAGAGAGAGAAAGAAAGAACCTTGAACTGCAGTAGGCCGCATGGGAGCCCAGTGCCTTAGCCACCATGCCACCTGCTGGGCACCATTTGTTTATTTATTTATTTATTTCGCTAGACAGTGGGTGTGTGCTCTCGTCAGGGATAGATGGAAAGTGAGTACTCCGCAGGGGAAACGGCCACACTGCAGTCTCTTCTCCTCCACTCTCGTCTCAAGTTGTTTTTTTTTGTTTGTTTTTTTTTTAAGAGAGATTTTTGCTATAGGGTATGTGTGTTCACCAGAGACATAGAAACAGAGACAGAAAGCAAGAACTCACTCCTCGCCCCTCTGAGGGGGAATGGCCACACTGCAATCCCTTCTCCTCCATTCTCCTCTTGGGATCTTGCATGGGCACACACACATGCACCCTGCATGAGTTTTAAGCCAGCGTGTCTGGGACTCAAACTACAATCCACTACGTGGGAGTCCAGTGATGTAACCATTACGCCATCTGCTGGTCCTTCAGGATTTTTTGGGCATGAACACACACATGGACCCCAGTGTGTTTCTCAAGCCACTGGGTCTGGGACTTGAACCATGCAGTTGGTCATGTAAGATCCAGTCCCCTAAACACCATGCTCCTGGCTGGCCCAGGAGTTGGTATTTAGAGGCAGCTGAGCATGAAGGACTTTGGACTTAAAGTCAGAAAACTTAGGTTTCCATTTAAGTTCTACCATGGATGAACTATGCAACCTTGGGCACCTTGCTTACCTCCGCGAGGTTCCCCTTCTCCCGTGGGCTCAGGGGCTCGCTCAGAACAATACAAGCCGCTGTGTTTTTGCACACTTCCTTTTGCATTCCAGGGGGAAGGTTTATGGTCATTCCTCTGAGGCTCTCACATGGAGCAGGGGTGTTCCTGAGTGTGAGGTTACATCCCCACTGGGAGGGCACCTGGAGCTGGGCTCACAGGGTTGGGAAGGGTTGGCTGAGGGTTGTGCTCTGGCTGGATTAGAGGATTAGAAGGGATTAGCATACCAGGCCGGCACACCCCCAGTGCACCTCTCCTCACAGACAAAAATACCTTTCAGGCTCCCTTGGAATTCGATCTGCTGTGGTAGGAGGCTGTCGGAGGTGGGGCTTGCAGAGTTGAACTGCACAAAGTTGAAAAATCGAAAGTGCACAGGAGGGCCCAGCCTGTGGCACACACGACATCGTGTCAGAGCTGGAGGCCACGAGCTGACCGTGGTTCAAGTCTCAGACCTGACTGGCCTGAAAACAACACTGGGCATGTCCATGTGTCCGCCGGGCTAGAGGACTGGAGGGCTAGAGGGAGGGGACCGTGGCGTGATTGAGCCTCGTGGCAGTCTCTCTCTCTCTCCTCCTCTCGTGCGTGTGCACTCCATCATGAATGTAAAAAAAAATAAAAAGTTAATTGATCAGGAGACCCTTTTCTTCAAGTCCTAGAAAGAAAGAAGTGGAGAAAATGGTAATATGAAGTGTGGTTTTTGGTCTCCTGGACTCAGAAGGACAGCAGCAGGTGCTCTCTAGGCCTCTCTTGCTCATCTTTTTAAAAGTTATTATTATTATTATTTTAAGATTTTTGCCATAGGGTACATGTGCTGAGAGAGACAGAGACAGAAGAGGGAACATGATAAGCATTCTCCGTGGGGGGAGGGCCATGCTGCAATCTCTTCTCCTTCACTTTCTTGTCATTTTGGGCATGCACATGCACCTGGTATGATTTCCAGCCACTAAGTCCAGGACTCGAACTGCTGAACTGGCCCGTGGGACCCAGTGTCTTAACTACCACCCCATCTACTTGATAAATCAGTTAATGAATGAGAGATGCCGGGTGCGTGTGCGTGCGTGCCCAAGATCCCGATAGAGGAGAATGGAGGAGAAGGGACTGCGGCATGGCCATCCCCCTGGAGTGTGATTTCTCGCTTTCTGTCTCTCTCTCTCTCTCTGGCGAGCGCCCTATAGCAAAAACCTCCCAAAACAAAACAAAACAAATAAACAACAACAACAAAAAAACGAGTGAGTGATTTCCATGTCTCTATTCACAAATGAGGGAACGTTTCCTAGAGGAGCCAAGGTGTTTTTTTGTTTTTGTTTTGAATTGCCGATGAGTGGGGAGAGGGAGAAAGCACCCCCACAGGGTGTGATCATGTCACAATCCCTTCATTTCTCCATCTTGCTGTGATTTGAGGCATGCACTCATGGCAGACTTTTTTTTTTCAAGCCCTTGGGGCCAGGATTCCAACTGCGTGGCCGGCCATGCGGAATCTGACTCCCTTAACTTCTAGGCTGCGAAGCTGGCCCTGGAGCTGAGGGTTCGTACAGCTCTATTGAGAGTACATGGGTCAGTTGTTTTCAGGATGTTCACAGATACGTGTAGCTGGCACCATAGTTAAGGTTAGAATATTTTCATCTCTCACAAAGAACCTGTATGCTTTTTTACTTTTTCACATTTAATTTTTACTTTTTTTAGTTTGCCAGAGGGTA